GTTGGAGTGGGGTTGGGGTTACACATTTATCATAACGTGTCATTTAAAGAGTCAAAATCATTATTTAAATTTATAATAATTATATTTAACCCTATTTGGTAGGAAAATTCAAATTTTAGTCTAAATTAAGTCAATAAATAATTTTAACTAAACATCTTATGAAATCCATAATTTTTCAACTACGTATTTCATCAATTGCTAATGAATTGAAAGTTTCAATACTCTATTCCTCATATTATTCAAATATATTCGAACATTTTAATCATCGATTCTGCTATGTATACATTCGAATTGATATTCCGAATGACACTCCACACGCATGAGAATGGGGCCACAATTGTTTTATTAGGCTCGGATGCCACCACTATATGTATGGAGTGTCAACCCGAATGTACACACATTATTATTGTTTAATCATTACTATCTAAAAATATATATTAATTAAAAAGTGATGGGAAACAACGAATACTTATCTTGAGAAGGCTTGCACGTGTCTCTCATATTATACTTTTTGATCCAAATGCATTCCTCCTATTGCTTTCGTTGTTATCAAAACGATAAAAAGTATTTTCTTGAAAGAACATATTATAACTAATTATTATGAATCAAAAATCTTATTTATCAATTGACTCTAATGTACAAAAATAGAATTTATGACTAGGATTATGAAAGGGCGAATTTAATTTACGGTCAATGTAATTTGATCTAATTGAAAATTTGATCCTTCCATTTTAATTTGTGTAAATTAAAGCTCCCGTTTGACCTCCATTTTATGGAAATGAAAATGAATAGTTGAAAAAAAAGGAAAATTTTTCGACGTATAATATCATTTTATGAAAGATTGTGTAGTTAAAAATAAGAGAGAGTAAAATAGAATGTAATGAAATGAAAATTAACGGAGGCCAAACGGGGCTGAATCACTATAGATTAATTTTGAATTGGTCAATTCGTTCAATTTTATCAAATTATAATATTACAACCTGACGTGGCCATTAAATATTGACTACAATCCTATCTGGCCATCATCCAAAAGAAGTGATATAATTGAAAAAAGTCTATAGTTTGAGTTATTATCAATTTACAAATGTAATGTGTAGAACGAGTTTTTTTAATGCGTTACAAGCTTTTGAATTTCCTTTTGGTACCACCACATTTTAGCTCTTTGCTTCATTATTAACAAACACATCATGTGTTTTATAGGAGAGTGCTTCCAATGTTTCGGTTAAAAGGGAAAAAGTTTGATTTAAGGAACTTATCAACACTTGATTTTACGCCTCGAACAAGATTAACGATAAATTCGCCAATAAATATTTACTTTAAAAGGTAATTGGCGAATTTAGCAACTAGTCCTAACTTTAAATATTGGCATAAAACTCCCTACCCAAAATGTTCATTGTGCAAAAATAATCTTTGGATCTTGCTGCTCAGCCAGGGTGGGAGTTCCGACTACTCACATACAAGGGGGAATGGTGCATTTTTGAAGTGTTATTTTAATGAGGTCGGGACCCACCTCATGTGAGTAACCTGTACAAAATCTGGTAGAATGACCTTGGTAGAATAGCTTTATCCATAATCTTTTGGTCAATTTCTATTTGTTTGACGGTTAAAATGTCAACCTATTTTTACAAAAAGACTAAAATGCACTTCCATTTACTACAAACATAAGATAACTAGAAAAAAAAAAAAAAACGACACGACATCCACTTAAGTAGATAATATAAAAAGGCCGAAAACTGAAAAAAATAATAATTGAAAATTAAGTAAAAAAAAAATAGTTGATCTATTACTTTCACGACTATGACAAGCCCAATATATTCATAATACCACCGTCAATACCAACATCGCCACCAAGAAACCACCATCCACCACCACCAGGATCTACATATATACATCATACATAAATATTGAGAATGTGGGTGTTAACAAATAGTTAAAAAAATATAATGATTCAAACATATAAAGAAATAATCATCCTTTGAATATAATATTGAGAATGTGAAATGAGAAATCAGACATTTTCATTATTTTCTTCTAATGTATTTTTGTTGGGGTAGGTTATTAATTGACTTCAAATGTCGTTGTAATTCACACGTCTTTGACACTCACAACTCTCAACAAACATCATAAAAATAATAAAGTGAATTAATTCACCACGTGTCACGTTTTCCAATTGAATATATTCCTAATATTTATAAAATTGAGCAAGTAATTTATATAGAAGATAAAATTAAATAAGCCCTTGTTTGACAATCATTTTTTCAATTTTTTTTCCCATACTCATTTTTAACTCACACAGTAAACAACTCTTTACGTAAATTCAAAATTTTTTCATACTTAACCATACATTCTTCAAAAATTTACTATTCAAAAACTCATTTTATTTCCAAAAAATTCCGTTAAATTCGTGTGATTGATAGATTATTTTATGTAAAGGGCCATGCTCACAAAACCAACCATGACTATCTTGATGCCTAACCATGACTATCTTGATGCCTTGCTGTTCTATTGTTGATATGAATTGCAAAAAGTCAAAACTTTTTATTGTTTAATTAAGCACACCAAATAAAGATATATTTATTAATGTTATCCAACAAGAATGCTTATTAAAGAGGATACTGTTGTGTGAAAAGGAACCGTTGTGCTTCATTTATTATTCCTTTCCTAGAATCAACCCACCATATTAAAAAAAAAATGGTTGAACCCCAATCTTGAGGGTCCCCTACCGCCTCGCCCTTAGAGCTTTGTGAGGGAGGTAAATCGCGAGATGTGTTCCAACAGGCCAAGAAATAAGAGTTGTCTGTACACTACGCTTACAAGGAGTCCAATTTCACATTTCAGAAATCGAGACCCCACACTGCGACTGCCAGCAAAGCGCGAGATGACCTCACTTCTATCCTTTGCACCACTAGACTATGCCTTGAGGGGCAAACCCACCATATTCAAATAGTGAAGAGATTTCATCCGAAGAGAAAATAGTTCCTCCAATCTGGTATTTTTCACAAAGGAAACATAAACACGTGCTCGCTCAACCAACCAATTGGAACAAATATTATTTGCAAATGAATTCATCGTCCAATTGCTATGCCTAAATCAGATCCCATGTACTAAAAAATCACTGAAAACTGCCCAAGCTCCACTCACATAATGTCAAATGTAGCTAAAATAAATCATATTCAAACAGTTGACATCATAATTACCGGGCAGAGTAACACAAACGGAACTTTGCTCGACGGGAAAAATTCTTGGGAATGTAGTCATCGATAAATATAAACTGTAAGACATTTTTAATTAATTTGAAAGTACGATCTCAATCGACTGTTATAGAAATTGACATTAACAAATTAGACTTGAACTAATATAATATTAGTTGCTACATTGACAGTTTTGTTGACATCTCATGATGTGACAAGCAATCTGCACATTTATTTGAGTAAAATTTATTCAAACTAATGGCTAGATTTTTTGCACATCATGAAATGTCAACTAGTTTGTTCAAAATGAATGTCAAAGTAGGATTTTCCATATAATCTTTAATTTATTGGAGCTTAAATCCTCTGCATCTAACAAGTTCTTCAATGGCTTCAATCAAGAAACATTTATTAATTGTGGGCTTAAATTGTAAGTGTTTAAAAATGAAAGTTCGTAAAATTATACCAAATAAGTGTTTAAAAATGAAAGTTCGTAAAATTATACCAAAGCCATACATATGTATGCAGAATCTATAAATGTCAATAGAAGTTGATGGAAAAAAAAAAAAATTCTATATCCCACTAAAATTTTGAAGTTTGACATGTCAAAATTTGATTTGAGAAACAATCAAGACTACAACCGAACAGATATAAGAAAAATAGATCTAGACTCCAAAATTACACATCTTTACATAGGACTTTACATGCCCACGTGAAAGTGGGATTCCAAACACCGTAAAAGTTTCAAACATCTTCCACAAGTTGAAAAGTACTGTCAGTTGGATATTGGTTAAATAAATCGAGAATTGAAAATCGATTAAAGTGATTTCGTATCGACTTCGGCCAAATACTCAAAAGCTCGACTCAATCCCTTTAGGCAAAATTGTTTGCCACTTCGCCGCTTCGGGGCGCACAAACAGGGATCGACCTGTCCAGTCAGGTCGCGGGGGTCGAGGGGGCAGCCTCCCCCCGTGGGGGCTCAGGGGCAACGCCCCCGAAAGAGAATTTTGATTTCTCTGCATGTATTGAAGGGTATATTTGGCATTTCGAAAATCAATATCGGATGAATGAGAAATTACGAAAAAGGACGAAAATCAGGTCAAAATATTTGACCGTGCGACGTGAATAGACACCTTTTCATAAAGGTGCATTGTTTGGAAAGGGTGCATGACTTGGCCTCAACCATTTCGTCCACACCCTTTCATGGTCTATAAATAGGACCCTTTGGGTGTCCTATTTCTCACAATTTGATATGCAAAACATCTCTCATCCTCTCTTCTATCCAAAATCAAAATCATTTCATTTATTTTGATTTTCCTTCATCCTTGGAGTACATAAACCTAAATTTAGTTCGTTGTACTTGTGTTTTGGAATGCTATAAACACAAGTGTAGCCGTTGTATTTTGGGAGTCGATTGCCGAAATCCGTAAGCACCGTTGCGGGGCAAATTCGACTTAAGGACAAAGAGTCCAACTCTTGCCTCGACTTTGTCCCTACTTTCTTCTTCTCCAATTTCCGGCACGGATTTAAAAAACCATCATTATACTTATTTTGGCGTCACTATTCACAAAATTCTTCCAACACTGCCAATCAATCAATTCTTGTTCATTCTATTTTCACACGTGTGTATCAAACAAGCACTCGCTAACTTAGTTACTAATGACTTTAAGTACACAAAACAAGTCTGTACAAAAACTTAATTATGTAAACTAAGATCGCGTATTCTGCAACTCTCAAAACTGATTAACTCTCAAGTTTCAAACAACTAACCTAAGTCTACATGTGCGAAAAATGTAAAACCATAAGGACCAATGATAGGGAAGGGTGTCTAGGATTCCATGTGAAGCATCTTCGAACCAAATAAATCTGACAAACAGCTGCTACAATGGGAAATTTTCTGCATAATGTATCAATCTCAATTGAGCTACACAATGAAACAAATTCAATGCTCAAACCTTTAATGTAATGCAAAAATTCATACAGAAAAACTTAAGTGCATCGTATTAACTCCATGGATCATCCCATCCTTTGGGTCCGTCTCTTTTTACAAATTCGATTATTGCCTGGACTGCTTCCTCAGTTCTGTTAGATAGTGAATGGTTTCCATAGTTGATTTCAACCTTTTCTGCACCACCTATTGCTCTGAACAACCTGGAAAAGTTCATAGCACGGATGAAGAGACAAGTAAAATACCCCCAAAAAAATGAATTCAACTTAGAACGTATGGATGCAAGTTATACAAAGAGTCGTTCTTGCCTATTGACCAATGCTTTCTTGTCCACGTAATCTGGTACGTATTCATCAGCCATGGAGAACATCACCTACAGAGGAAGAGCATTCTCTCAAAACAAACAAGGTATTGTGATTATAAAGACGTATTATGAGGTTCGTTTTACATCCTTATTTACATTCAAGTTTTTGTCCACTTAACACGTAATTCATACAGTGTCCTGATATATTATTAACTGCACATCATATACTCGGTTTGGTTCAAAATAGGCTAAAATCAATCCCCTTTAACCCCTAGAAGTATCCACTATCACGGCAAATAGAAAACTAAAGTTCATTAAATGAACTTGGGAATCATTGTACAAACTAAAACCTATTTCAGAATAAAAAAGTCATCATCAATGCTGTTCTTCCGTTGCACTACATGGGTCCATAAATAATGCTCCAATTGTAAGTGTTGTATCTTAGCTATATGCACGTATATCTTCCAATCGTATAAACAATACATATATTATATAGATTAAATAGACCTCTGTGGAATGTGGTGCCTTCAAGTGCAACTATAAAGCAATATTAGTTTGAGAGCATGTTTGGCTAACTTTGAAAGTAAGTATAAGTTGATTCGAAGTAACCTTTTTGTTGTTGAACACATTTGGATAAGTTACTTTCTCCTTACTTTTTAAGTTAAAAAAGTTATACATTTCTAAAGTAACTCTTACTTATAATTGAAATATGAGCAATTAGATAAAGAAGTATTTATCTTAAATTTACTATTCTACTTATTAGTAAACTTCTTAGGCTTAGTCAAACATACTCTAATTTATTTAAACAGTCAATCCTACCAGGCAAGGTATGTTGGACATGTGTCCAAGTTTCTGTTTCAACTGGTCTTCACTAAAGTCAGAACTGAACATGTCGTCATCACCATTGTATGCACAAAGCGAATGATACCTGCATGACAAAATAGTGCTGACAATTCAACAGATTGTTGGAAAATCAAATCATACAGAGAATGCAGAGAACCGCATTTGAAGTCACATTTCTACAACTCTCACCTATAGGCCGTTATTGGGGAATCTGGATTGGCTTCCAGAGGCATCAATTCTGATCCTCGACCTTCACTAATCATCGTTGAAGCTAAATCAATCATGGAAGCAGTTTCCGGGAGAGTGGCTTTGAATTCCCGGTCACTCGCTGGAGCCTGAATAGTTAATCAATGCGATAGTAGATGATGAAATTGAAAGCACGACATCGAAGTAATATAGGCAAGCAATTTACTACAGGATCATTGAAATAATGGCCAAGATCCACCTCCACGCTATTGTAAAGAGGCTATCAAATTTTAGAGGCATAAAATTAATCAAAATTATATGCAAGGCTGACAAGTTGCTATTGGATAAAGCATTATAAATAACCCTTATCCCAGAAAATTGAAGATCCAATAACTTTTAGATCTTGATCTATTGACCCTATGGGCAACTTCGTTTTTTGCTTATCACTTTAATGAAAGGTAAGGTACTTTTATGGTCAATAAACTTTTTGTTATGTTTCATAATGATGATTACACTTTATTATCCCATATTATCCTTTAAAATTGAAATGGTTTCAAATGTGAGATTTATTGTAAAATGCCGGTAGCTGAGTAGCACGGAATCTTCATACGTGATTTGCATGTGCGTTTTCAAAGACCCCATTCATAAGTAGAGTTAGAAAGTGAGAAAAGAAAAATAAAATTAAGTATATTGGTCAAATGGAACAACTTATGATGACTAAAACAGAACTTCTACCCTAAACTCAACGTAGATGCAAACCTCTAAGCACAAACACTTTAACTATAGTAACGTGTCCGTCACGCGTCCAATACCAACACTCTTTTGGCACTCTACCATAATCATTTTTCTTTCCTTTTTTGCAATATTATATATTTTTAACTAAAAATTATTTGTAAATAACAAATATGCACTCATAGTTAAAATATTTATATAAGAAAGATTAATATCAAGTATAAACTAAATTTATACTGTATAAATGAAGAAGCTTAAAGAATTTATTCAATGTGTCGATGGCGTGTCGTGTAGGTACTTTTTTGAAAAATCACGTGTCGAAGATACAAACTCTGATGTGCATGCACATATTGAGCATCCATACTAACCACCATTGCATGCTTCCAACCAAACACTCAACTGCTAAATAGAATAATAGTTCAGATACAACATGAAAGTAGTATTTTTCTTATTCTGTAACCTCATTGTGCATCAAGTTTGAGAGCCGAAGGCCCAAATTGACTTGTACAAAACCTGTACCATTTTCAGTTAAGATACAAAATGTTTCAAATATAAATTTCAGATTAGATTGTTTCTGCCTTCACCAATAATCATTTTCAGCATACAGATACCACTTTTCGTTTGCTTCTCCAAATGTAAGCTTAGTTAGAACTTAGATGCTATACTAAGATGCACACGCCAAAAGTTCAAATCACTGAAAACTCTAATAGATAAACATCATAAACACTAAACACCAATTACATGGAAGAGTTACCTGCAAAATGGCTGCACGCACTGCTCTTGAACATGCTGCATTGGTACGCATGTAATACACAATATCCTATACACAATAAAGCATATGCCGTGAATGTCACGTGCCATCTGATTTTTTATGGCTAAAGCAGAATTACATCAAAACACAGGATCTAAGCTCAAAGAATAAATTAATTACCTGGCAGCCAGTACTGTGTCCAAGTAGTACCACACCTTCCGAATCTTCTTTGTTTATCAAGTAACTTATCAATTGATCAAGCTCCAAGGCATCCTTTAATAGACAATGCAATAACATAACAATTTAGCAAACAAAGTGAAACTACAATATAGCATTCAAACATCACATTTCGTGATGTTAGAAAAAGCCAACATTTTGAAGCACACTATATCAGCAAGAAATATTACATGATTCAAAGTAAAGTCAGACCATGAGGTCATGAACTAACTCGTAATAATTAGCAAATACTGATTGAAAGCTTGCACAAATAACATAATGTACCTGATGTTGACATCATCATCCACCTACGTTTATTTTATTTTATTTGGACTTTTATTTTGTTTATTTTAGTTGGACTATTATTTATGTTAGTGGACTTGTATAAGGGGTTTGGTCCAAGCCCGATCTCTTTAGGGTTTTGTTTTGTTATTTAAACCTAATTTGCCATGTAATTGTGTTCTTCTATTTGTTCTGCTAATTCTTCTTCTACCGTTCTTTTAATCTCATCTTTTTTATATATCTGTTTCATGTTCTATTGGTACTGCATCAAATTGGGTATCAGAGCCAAAACTTGGGTAAGTTTAATCTACAATTCAAAAATTCTTCTTGCCTTCTACAAAAAATTTATTGGAACAGCACAAGTGAAAATGATTTAGCGTAAGAGCATCAGTTTTCATTTTTCAGTTCTTTAGGGCAAAAGAAAAAGTTGTTACTGTTCATGCCCGAAAATTTCAATTTTGTCTTTTCATTAGTTTCTAGGAAAAAAATCATTTGCTGTTGCTGCTGCCAGACAAATTGCATGCTGTTCCACAAAGTCTAACCCTAACACTCAAACCTACTTACAATCGGCCCACATAAGAAACCAGCCCAATTCTTGCAATCACATACACCAACAGCAAACCCTAGCCCATTATATAAAATACCCAACCAAGCCGTCACCTCCAACCTAATTACATCAATCCAATAACCTAATTACATCATCCCAATAACACCAAAACCCATATAATCAATACCTAATCTCATTATCATTTAACCTAAATGGCTTATCGACCAATCCATTGCCGACAAACCAATTCCTCTTCCAGAAATTCGGTCTCTCCAAGCCTGCGATCCTTCTACCGCGATCTCCGCCAACGGCTCTCGTCGCTCCTAACGCCG